TTAAATTTATTATTGTTGATTTATATCATGATCATATATTTTTAAATGTTGATATTATATTTTGTTAAGAAAATTTATCATATCTTATAAAATCTATATTATAATTTTCCGATGTCCTCACTACGTCATCGTGACGTCATGTCATCGCTACGTCATGGCATCGCTACGTCATGTCATCGCTACGTCATGTCATCGCTACGTCATGTCATCGCTACGTCATGTCATCGTTACGTCATGTCATCTGTACGTATTTATTTATTTATTTGTTGATTTTTATAAACAGATGTTCATACCAAATTTGAATTCCTGAAATCAGAAGAAGTAATTTATTTGTTGATTTTTTATGATCATATCTATTTTTAGAGACTATCATTTTCCTTGACTGAAATCGGAGTGCCAGATACCAATTTTTAGTGATTATCATTTTATTTGAATTCCTGAAATCAGAAGAAGGAATTTGTTTGTTCATTTTTTATGATCATATCTATTTTTAGAGACTATCATTTTCCTTGAATTCCTGAAATCGGAGTGCCAGTTATTTAAAAAAATTCTCTAAATAAGGGCACTCTTAAACAGACTTAATCAAAGTTTCCTTTTGAAGAAGTAAGATTATTAAATTAAGCTAAATTCTTTTTTAAAAAAAGAAAAGATATATACTCAAATAAGAATATTAAATTAAGTTAATTATACTTATTATTTTATCTACTAGGCGTGAGAATTTTTTTTATAAATTATAAGGTCTTGAACGCGTGGAAATTTTTTCCAAATATTATGAGCTTGGACCTGGCTTGAAATTTTTTAATGTTAAATGTTAGTCTTATGTAACCAGTAATATATTTACAAAGAATTTTGGTATTGGGTACAAGCTCATTTAAATATATTTTGACTCAAGTAATAGTTTCCACTCTTAGTCCTAATGGGTTGGACTCAATGACATTGCTTGGACTTGACCTAAATGGGGAGGGGGGGGGGTTTAAAAATTATATAAATTGGATATGGTTTTAAAATAAAAGGTAACATCTTTCTTAAAAAAACGAATAAAATTCTCATTCTCCGTCATTTTTGACGGGCTATCTACTAGTACTTATAAATTTTCTGCAACTTTAATTTTATAATAAAATTTATTTCATTCTTACAATTTTTAATTAGGTTATGCGATTTTGTAAAAAATACATGAGAATATGTTAAAATAAATAATTACTGATACGAACACATAATAATAAAAGCCATATTAGAAAATGAAACCAATTTTAAAAAATAAAATATTACAAACAAGGAATGATAAAAACAATAAATAAAATAAAACTAATTTGAAAATTAATACCAAGAGATAAGATTATATATGGGAATAGGATATCCTAATAAAAGTAAAAATATTTTAAACATTCTCAAAAACTGTGATAGGGTTGCTAAATGTTAAGGTTTAATAGTTATTAGGATCTAATCATATAACTCCATAAAATATTAAATTCATAAGTTTATTTCTTTAATTATAATAAATATTATGAATAATATAAAAATCATTTTAATCATAAAAATTTATAACTTTATTAGATATTATATATTTTTTATTAAAATATACAAGATTTATTATTATTTATATAAGTAATAATAATTGATAGGATATTTTTGAAGTTATTGTATTATTTTATAATAATAATATGTTGCCATAAGAAATAAAGCTTTGCTAGTTCCGATATAAATTCATAATGTTCCATTCCATTTCCAAAATCTATACATCCATGAAACTCATTTTTATACCAATGAATAAGTCGCTGTATAGACATTTCATCAAGGCTTAAGGTTATAATAAATAATTGTACATGCGAATTGGATTGAATTGTTAATCCTTTTAAAGGAAGAATCTAAAAAACCTAAAATAAAATAATTTTAAAGTTATAAAAATAAGTTTATTTCTAACCTAGCCTTATTTGTATTTGTTAACTCCAAATTCTTAAGAATTATAAAACATCCTACTGAGCAAAATTTTAAAACTAATTAAAATAATCCAGCCATGCAAAGGAAAGATATAAATTGGGCCAGGCACAAGTTCATAAGTAAACAAAACTCTTAATTTCTTAAGTTTTTATAAATCGAAATGTAATTTATATGGAACCCACAAAATTGTGACAGTTGATATTCTTATATGGAATCTTCAGTTTAGATATATATGATTGCATAAAGTAAATAAGATACCTAATAAACTTGAATAAAAATTGCTGATATGTAAATTTTATAAATTAAGAAAATAAAAATAAAAGCTTTTGATAAAATATAATGTTTGCTTAATAAAATTGTATCAGTAGTAAATTAAAATGATAATAAAAATAATGGACTCATGGGTAACATTGAATTCATAGTGGCGCGATTGCGATCGCGATTTAACAGCTGATTGATTTTTAAAATCTGTTTATGAGATCAATTTTTATTTGTTAATATTAATTTTATCTTTAATTCAAATTTTAATAATAATCTAAAGAATAATGATTTTAATAAGGAATAATTGATCTCATAAACAGATTTTAAAAATCAATCAGCTGTTAAATCGCGATCGCAATCGCGCCACTATGAATTCAAGGTAAAAGGTGGTTCGGGTCCGCTTTATATACTCTTAAAAATATCAAAAAGACAAATAAGCTAAAATGGCTGTCAAAATGGCCCCTATAAGTTTGAAGCGAGAGATTTAAAAAAATATCAAAAATTTGACTTTTACAGATTAGATAGTTTTTTCTATTTAAGTATTTAATATTAAATTAATATCATTATAAATTTTAGTAAAATACCTTAATCAAATATTTAATATAATTATATAATTAATATTAAAATCATTTAATATAAATTTTAATAAATATATAATTGTAATATTTAACATAATATATTATTAATATTTAAAGTAATTAAATTAATTTGATATAAAGAAAAATTATAAATTGTATTAATATAAATTTTAATAAGTATATAATTGTAATATTTAACATAATATATTATTAATATAATATTTAAAGAAATTAATTTAATATAAATAAAAATATATAAATTGTATTAATATAAATTTTAGTAATAAATAATTTTAAATTTTAGTAATATATAATTATAATATTTAATATGATTTAATTATAATATAATAATTAATATTATTAACATAATTAATATATAATTAAAATAGTATAATTTATATTATATATTTATAATATTATTTACATATTTTATATATTTATAATATTATTTATCTATTTAATATAATTTATTTATAATTCAATATTATATATAATACAATATGGTTAATATTACTAGGAACTCCATTAATAAAATTTTTATAGTAGAGATTTATACTTATTATTCCTATAAATATCAGATTAACTCATATTTTAATTTTTTTTTAGATTTCTAATGATTAATGGGAATATGTTAATCTCTTTTCCTACTAGGAACTCCATTAATAAAATTTTTATCGTAGAGATTTATACTTATTATTCCTATAAATGTCAGATTTACTCATATTTTAATTTTTTTTTAGATTTCTAATGATTAATGGGAATATGTTAATCTCTTTTCCTACTAGGAACTCCATTAATAAAATTTCTATCATAGAGATTTATACTTATTATTCCTATAAATATCAGATTTACTCATATTTTAATTTTTTTTTAGATTTCTAATGATTAATGGGAATATGTTAATCTCTTTTCCTACTAAGACCATTAATAAAATTTTTAACATAGGGATTTATACTTGTTATTCCTATAAATATGAGATTTATTTTGTTAGAGCTATTTATCATACATATTTATTCATATAAATATCGGATTACTTAGATATTACTTAAAAATATTGTTAAGAGGCTCGATTTGAGTCGAGTTTTTAAAAACGGCTAACTCAAATTTTGGCTAGCAAAATATTGACTAAGCCTCGAGATTTAGCTAATAGATGCCAAAGTGCTGTTAAACGGCTTGTTTTGAGCCATTTTTAAAAACGGCTAACTCAATACTTCATTCAGAAAAATATTAGCCAAGCTGGAAGATTTTGCTCATAGAAGGAACAAGGGTCTACACATATATTATAGAAATCTTGAGGTTTAAGCAATATTTTTCTGGCTAAAATATTGAGTTTGCCGTTTTTAAAAATCGGCTCAAAACGAGCCGTTTAACAACACTATGCCAAACCTTTATGCCACCTCTGAGCAAGGTCTGCTGGCTTGCCTATTATTTTTTCAGATAAAATATTGAGTTAGCCGTTTTAATCGAGCCGTTTAACAACATTACTTATAAAAAATATGATATAATGAATAAGCATGCATGTTGTAAGAATAATGAAATATAAGCCTAACAATTTTATTATTACTTTTGCAATTATATCAATAGTATATATAAATATTATTAATGTGATTGATAAATATTATTATCGTGATTGATAAATATAAAATAATGATTGCAATTGTATAATAATGCTATATAAAATAATGATTGCAATTTATATATCAATAGTATATAAATTTATATTTATTGAGACTATATATTGATGAAGGTATATAAAATAAAGATTGCAATTTGCATATCAATTATAGAATTATTTTTATTAAGACTGTATATTGATGGTGGTGTATAAATATTTGTATATATTGCAATTGAATATTAATTGTATAGAAAATGATGATTACAATTTGTATATCAATAGGTGGTATATAAAATAATGATTGCAATTTGTATTTCAATAGTAATATATAAAATTATGGTAATTACTTTTTGCATATCAATATTATATAAAATGGTGTAAATTTGGTATAAAAAGAATTAAAAAATGAAAATTTTAACAGCATGATCATAATATTGATAAAGAGTGATGTGAATTTTTAGGTAACCTAATAATTAATAAATATCTATGTAAGCATCAATGACATATGTCATTGGTATGCATATAATAGTTTTCTCTATTTTGAGAATATAAATAATTATTAGAAAATAGTAGATTTTTATTAAATTTAGATTTTATAAATTTATATTGGGCATTTTGCTTTAAAAAAATTAATTGATTTATTGAATAATCATAATTTCCAGGTTAACAAGATAGCATATTTTAAATTTACTTTGGTTGGTTGGAGTCCCTGAATAAATTATATCAAGTGATGCTAAGATTAAAATTTCCAGGTTTACAAGATAGCATATTTTTAATTTACTTTGGTTGGTTGGAGTTCCTGAATGGATTATATCAAGTGATGCTAAGATTAAAATTTCCAGGTTAACAAGATAGCATATTTTAAATTTACCTTGATTAGTTGGAGTTCCTGAATGGATTATATCAAGTGATGCTAAGATTAAAATTTCCAGGTTAACAAGATAGCATATTTTAAATTTACCTTGATTAGTTGGAGTTCCTGAATGGATTATCAATTGATGCTAAGATTAAAATTTCCAGGTTAACAAGATAGCATATTTTAAAGGATTATCAATTGATGCTAAGAAGAAAATTTCCAGGTTAACAAGATAGCATATTAGTAATATATTCTAAGAAGAAAATTTCCAGGTTAACAAGATAGCATAATAGTAATATATTCTATAATTTACCTGGGTTGGTTATGGTCTCAAATGACGCTGGAGAAACTATTATTGAGCAAGCTTAAACAAAATTTAGCAAAAAGTGCGCGACAAAACATCAAAACACACAAAAAAAGTATATCATGCAGCACGATACGGTAAAAGGTTCGGGTCCGAAATATTCCCACAGCTGTTTGGAGTCAAATTCTTATCTTATCTTATCTAGCACGTTGGTCATAGACCTGCCCAAAATGAGCAAACGTGAATTTTATGAAGGCCCACCCTTCATAAAATTTTGCCGATTTTTTTCTCAAGGATACCAACAAACCTTGTACCCAGTTGTAGTTTACTAAATGAGTGGAACTTACCCTTTCCGATATTGTAATTGTAATTTATAAATTAGTAAAATAAAGACATATATTTCTTATTTGTTTTTTAATCTTGAATAGTTATATTCATGATAAGGAATGAGTTAGAATATTTGAATCCATAGACACCAAAATTCCATTTCATTTGTTAGGTTATATTCTTCCAAAAGATGAACCGGAAAAATCTTCGCCATTTGGGAAGGATAGATGAAAAAATTGGAGTCAAATTAAAGAAAGATGGTGAATACAAACAAGACACATTTAACATTTAAATTTAATAAATTTTAATATTTATATTATAATTTATGCAATATATATTTATGAATATTTAATTATAAAATATTTAAATATATCTAAAGTAATATTTAAATATATATATAAGGTAATATTAAATTATATATAAAGTAATATTTAATAAATAATTAAAATATTTAATATATCTAAAGTAATATTTAAATATATATATAAAGTAATATTTAAATATATATATAAGGTAATATTAAATTATATATAAAGAAATATTTAAATATAAATAATTAAAATATTTATATGATAATTTATGCAATATATTATAAAATATTTAAATATATCTAAAATAATATTTAAATATATATATAAAGTAATATTTAAATATATATATAAGGTAATATTAAATTATATATATATTTAAATATAAATAATTAAAATATTTAATATATCTAAAGTAATATTTAAATATATATATAAAGTAATATTTAAATATATATATAAAGTAATATTTAAATATATATAAGGTAATATTAAATTATATATAAAGAAATATTTAAATATAAATAATTAAAATATTTATATGATAATTTATGCAATATATTATAAAATATTTAAATATATCTAAAGTAATATTTAAATATATAAATAAAGTATTATTAAAAACCTTAAATATATATAAACTAATATAAAATAAAATATAGGAAGAATATATTTAAATTCGCTAAAATAATTGGTTAATTTATAATTAATAAAGTTCTGCCACCATAAAGTTTTTTAGGATAAATGATGTAATGATACGAGTTTTCTAAATATAAAAATGTAACCATAAAGTTTTCTAATATAAAGATTGTTTATTTTATTTTAAATTATTAATTTAATTTTATATAATATATTTTAAAATTTTAAATTTTTTTTTATCAAATTAAAAAAATCAGGTTTATATAACAATTTTCATATTAATATATAAAAATTTATATAAAAAAAATCAATCTACACAATTTATAAAAAAATCAATTTATATCAACATAAAAAAAAACAATTTAAAGGTTAGTATTAATCGGTCATATTAACAATAATAATAAATTAATATCAATGATTATTGTTAATAACAGAATGTAGACTATCTGGCTTATGTTAATTGTTAGGTATAAAATATTAATCTGAAATTTCTGAACCCATCTGATTCTAAGCTAAAATAAATTTTACATTGTTAGTGGAATGTGTATATATTTATGAAGATCTTTAAGTGGATAGTTAAAAATTGAAAAGTTAACATAATCCAGTATATCATATTAAAAAATTTTAATTATTTCTAGTGCTGTAAACGTTACTACAAAAAGAAACGCGTTACAGTTACTTGTTACATCTGAAAAGGGAACCCGTTACGGTTACCTTAAAAAGAAACGCGTGTAGAACGACTTGTCTTTATCTAAAAATCTCTGTAATTCAGATATGTCATAAGAGTCGTCATATGCAATTATCCTTAATATGACTATCTATTAATTTCCTTCTTTCCCATGCTTCCCTTAAAAATGGCTGCAGAGTTTGAAGATTGCCCCCATTTTATTCCATAATAGCTTACACTTAGAAAATGTATTTTTAAAATAATTTTAGAGTGTACATCGTTATTTCAATGTCAACAGTAATAAAAAATAAATAATTTTATAGTACAATTAAAGTTTTTATTTTTTAAATATTTTTAAGAATATTTGGAGTCTTAGGCGGACACATAGTATATAATGAGAAAAGGGAGAGAAAAACGAAATGGTTAAGGTATTATAAGATGCCTCCTCAAATTTAATCAATCAGGCAGATAAAAAAATATATTTTTAAGTAACTTTTCCCCTCCAAGCTCTTGTAGAAAATTCGAGCCATGTTGCGTCTAAAATTTAAAAATGATTGGCACAAGTGTTGTTAATTTGCTTGGTCGTAAAATTTACGAACCAAGTTTGTGCTCAAGCCTGCTCTGAGCACAAACCTGAGGTTCAAATATGGGGTCCAGACCCGGAGTTGTTTATAATTTTTAAATAGCATAGTCCTGCAAGCAAGTCAGCTTCGGGATAAAAATCTTTTAATCGGGTTTAGTTATGATTTAATTAAATTGAATTTGCATAGTTCTACTCTACTTTGGGTAAAGAAAAAATAAATCTCATTTACTAATCTTTCAAATTTTATTATACATTTAAATTTAATTATAAATTAGTAGGCTTTATTATTTTTTTCTACATTAATTCCATTTTCTAACTAAGCATTCAAATATTTGTTCAAATTGCAATGATTTGGGCGGTTTGTTTGATTTAACTATTTTTTCTCTTCCAGACTATGTTAAATTCTCTTATATAATTATTAGTTTATATATAGTTACTTAACTATCAAAACAACACTCAGGTATTACAACAACAAACAACTACTTAATGTATCTGTTTTTTTTTACTTACTTTAATTTTTTTTTCTCTTGAAACACGAAAATCGATAATTTTATTTCTTTATTTTTCTTTTCTAAAATATGAAATCGTACATAAAAAAAAAATAATTGTCTTTTTTTTTCACTCTTATATATTTATTTTTTTACAAAATCATCGCCGTATATTTATTATTTTATTTATCAAAAGTCAATCAACTTTTTTTTAATATTTATTTATTTAACTCCTTATTATTCATATACTTTGCCATTATATTCCTATAGTGCTAGGCGTAATAGCTTGCTCCCTTAACAAACCATCTTCAATACTTTTTTTATTCAGTTAGTAAACCCCTGTAATTTAACTAACTTAATTACAAGTTAAGTTAAATTTTTTTTATAAATTACAAGTGTTTTATTTTAATTATTTTTGCAAAGAAAATAATTTTATATGGATAAGATAACATGTTTCATAAAATCATCACAACTAAGGGAACGCCAGCGTTGCCTGTTTGTATATAGAAAAAAAAATGTTTTTTTTATTCTTTAACTTTAAAAAAAAAATTATTCTGTAAAAATACTCTTCACCCCTACCCATAGTGGCGCCGCTATTTTGTTATGAATAAAAATAACCGTAAGAGGAAAATAATTTCCAGGAAAAGAAAGAAAACATGATAAATTTTCCACAAAAAACCTAAGATATGGGAACTAATTGAAAAGATGATGATGGAAATAGCCGTCGACATGGACAAATCGGCCAATGGAGGAATCAGGCATACACTCCCAAAAAAATCGTAGATAACATACAAAACAAAATATTTTGAAAAGATGATGATGGAAATAACCGTCGACCTGGACAAATCGGCCAATGGAGGAATCAGACATACACTCCCAAAAAAAATCGTAGATACCATACAAAACAAAATATTTTGAATAATTTATGTATTGATTTTTAAGAGAGAAGAGACTTACCTAATTTTCTCTTGGAGAACATATTGTTTCATTTGAATAATATAACTTATTTTTCTATATATCATTTATTAAAATTATAATTATTTCTTATCTGTAAATTTAAAAAAAATTTCACAAGCAAAATAATAATTGTAAGATTTGAAATATATAATATTCACTGCTTATAATCACCTCTGAAATAGATATTTTTATGAATAAAATTCAAGGTAACAACGTTAGTAACTACGTTACTTTTTTTTACATTACTTTACAGCACAAATTAATATATAAATATTTATATTTTAGAAGGCAGATTTTATAATTTTTATTCTGATCATACTTAGGGTTAAACATCTGTCGGTTACCAGATTAATTTATTAATCTATATACTTAAAACCTATGATTGACCAAGACATATAAAAGTCTAATAATAAATTAATCAATTGTTTTAGTTAAAAAAATCAGCAATATATAATCAAAAATGATTATTTGAATAAAATAAGGATTCAAAATTTAAATTTTGTATTTCTTTTATCAATTATCTCCTTCCTTATACTTGTTTAGATGGACATGATACAAAAAAATTTGAATAATAAAATTTTATGTTTACAAATTTTATAAATTATGGATTTTCTCAAATGACAATAAAATTTAAAATATCCTTTGTTAAAATATAATATTTAATTAATAGTAATGACATTTTAAAAAAACTACAAATTTCACAAATTATGTATTTTCTCAAATGACAATAAAATTTAAAATATCCTTTATTAAAATATAATATTCAATTAATAGTAATATGACATTTTAAAAAAACTACAACTTAATTAATATGCAGAAAAAAATTTCATAGATGGAAAAGATGTAATCCATTTCACCAATCTTTTCCTCACAAATATAACACCATTCATTCTCAATATAAATATAGAACTTCCAATATAATTTTACTTTCCCAAAGAATAATAAATTCAATTTTTATATGTTAACGTTTTTTACAATTAATAATAAAAATATCTAAAAAACAATTGAATATATTTGTAATAAAATGAATTTACATTGAAACATATTCACCACCATCCTGATAAATCTAAAGAAGAGCATTATGCAATTATGAATAAACTTAAAGTACAAATTCGAGCAACCCGGTTCAAGGCAAACGTAAAACATAAAATCAAGTTATGCGTATTAGAAAAATGGATCCCCTCGTTCAACTCCATCCTAATGTTCTACCAACATTTATATCTGTGAAAACTATTATGAATCGTGTTATTAAAACATTAAGACCTCCTTTGCCTCTTATAAATTCTGATATCCGATTATACGGCAATTATAAGTTAACACTAGATAATAAAACATTTTTAATTTGTAATCAAAACAATGAATTATTAATATTTTCTACACATATTGAATACGTGTCAATGTAAACATCATATTTAACAATGTACCTCTTGCAGTACAATTCTTTAGCCCACATTTATATAAAAATCCATATTTGTGGTGAATATAAAGATATTTATTAGAATATAAAAAATTCCGTTTTTTTGGGAAAAATAAAATCATATGGTATGGTTGTTCTACATTTAAATATGCGGATTGAGTGTTATTAAATATTACCGGTAAAGTTTCAGAGCTATTAGCTGCAATGGAGATATCGACTACAACTTCTTCATCTATAAAACTTTCGTCTAAAAATGGTAAAAGAGGGAGGCCACTCTCTCCATCTTCTTCTGTATGACTAACCAAAGAAGGGAGAGCCTCTTGACTTTCCTCCAACAAGATCCCAGAAATCCCCACATCACTGTCTCCAACTTCTTGTGGAGGATTGAACATTTGACTTTCTTCCAACAAGTTCCCAGAAATCCCCACATCACTGTCTCCAACATCTTGTGGAGGATTGAACATTTGACTTTCTTCCAACAAGTTCCCAGAAATCCCCACATCACTGTCTCCAACGTCTTGTGGAGGATTGAACATTTGACTTTCCTCCAATAAGTTTCCAGAATTCCCCACATCACTGTCTCCAACTTCTTGTCGAGGATTTATCAAAGGAGGCACTAATGTTGTGACTTAAGGAATAATATATTAAGAAAAATTTGATTAAATATTTATAATAAAATTTAAAAATAATTTTGTAAAATACTTCCTCTTCTTCCACTCAAATATTTGCAAATATCTAGAAAACAATAAATCACATCTTATATATTAAATAATTTACCGTTGCATGCTGCTGTTTCAGTAAATAGGTTATTTACTGTGTAACCTCTCCCGAGACAGGTTGGAGAAATACAGGTAAAATATATTTTATTTTTATAATAACTTGACTTTCTATATGTAGAAGGTATCATTATTTAAAAAATTCTAAAAGATTGTTATAAATATAAAATATCTATTAGAAAATATAAATAATTTACCATAATTATTGTTCTTCTAATGTTCTATTTTTTAGAAAATATAAATATTCCTAATATTATCCATGTGTTCAAATGCTGTTAAAATTATAAAAGATATATGATAAATTTTAGAAAAAAAATTTTGCCATACATCATTAAAATTAATTACCTTAGCCTTGTTCAGAAAAATATTTTCTAATAATATAGAATCTTGCTAATTCTAAGATAGAATCATGCTAATACTAAGATAGAATCTTGCTAATACTAAGATAGAATCTTGCTAATACTAAGATAGAATCTTGCTAATACTAAGATAGAATCTTGCTAATACTAAGATAGAATCTTACTAATACTAAGATACAGGGTTGGGCAGTATCGCGGATATTTGTATCTAAGATACAAGATACTTTTGTATCTTTTTAAAAATTTTGTAAAGTATCTTGTATCCAGTATCTAAGATACATATTATTTAAAAGTATTTGTATCTTAACCAACTTTGTATTCAAAAAGATACAGATACTTTAAAAAAAAATTATATTGGTTAATTTAAATAGTATTAAAATTTAAAATGATATTGTTTTAAGATTTAAATGAAAAATTTAATCAGAATTTAGATATTTTAAGATAATTTTTGATATATGACGTTGGTTGTCATATAGCAATTTGCTAACAATTAGAACTACCATATTTGAATCGTTTTATATGGGTCTATTTTAAAATTATGGAATAAGAAAATAGAATAATATGTTTATCTTCGTCTTCAGATGATTCTTCAACCGAAAATTTTTAAAATTTTGTAAAGTATCTTGTATCCAGTATCTAAGATACATATTATTTAAAAGTATTTGTATCTTAACCAACTTTGTATTCAAAAAGATACAGATACTTTAAAAAAAATTTATATTGGTTAATTTAAATAATATTAAAATTTAAAATGATATTGTTTTAAGATTTAAATGAAAAATTTAATCAAAATTTAGATATTTTAAGATAATTTTTGATATATGACGTTGGTCGTCATATAGCAATTTGCTAACAATTAGAACTACCATATTTGAATCGTTTTATATCTGTCTATTTTAAAATTATGGAATAAGAAAATAGAATAATATGTTTATCTTCGTCTTCAGATGATTCTTCAACCGAAAATTATAACAATAAATTTAAACTAAGCATACTTAATGGCAAATTTTTTGAAGTACTTCAAGATGATCATAATTAAGAAATTCATCGTGACTTTGGTATTGACGAAAAAGTTATAGCAACTGTTACAGATAATGGCTCTAACTTTAAGAAAGCTTTCAAGGAGTTTGGATATTCTATGGAAGCTGTAGAGAATGACTTTGACATCAATGATGATGAATGTATAGAATTTGAAATCATTGAAAGTATTATTTAATACTTCTTTAAAATTTATTATGATATTGTAAATTTAGTAAAAAAATTTATTCAAATAAAATTATTTATTTGATTATTTAAGGGTCTAAAGAAGCCTCAATAACATTGCCTCAACACATTCGTTGTTTGTGCCATACGATAAGTCTAATTGCCACAACAGATGTCGAGAGAGCTATTAAGGATTATCCTAACATTTCTAAAATTCATCATCCTGCAATAGCTAAATGTACTAAGCTATGGAATGCAAATAATAGGCTTAAAACTGCAGAACTTATCAAAGCAGTTTTAGGAAAACAATTAGTTACACCTTGTTGCACTAGATGGAATAGTTTGTCTGATAGTCTTTATAATTTATTAAAATTTAAAGGCGAACTTCCTAAATTATGTCAAAAATTAGAATTTCCTAAATTAAGAGATATTGAAATTCAATTTAGAAGAATATTGCAATATAATGGCCCCATTGGCTATAGCGATTGACAAACAGAGTGAAATCAACTGCTATTATGGAGAATCAGCTCCAATTTTAAATGTCGTTAAAAAAAATTACAAATTTAATTCAAACCAATCTACAATTTTGCAAACCATTAGCTATTGCCATAGAAAATTATTTAAATAAAAGATTTAAAAATATATATGATTTTGATAACAATTTTAAAAGTGCATTTTTGGCAACTATTTCTCATCCCTATTTTAAAAATCGTTGGATTGGTGGTGAAAAAGAAAAAAAATACCTTCAGGATTTGGTTACATGAAATTTTAATTGTTTTTAAAAATAATATTGAAATTAATACTTCAACAAAATCTTCAATTGATGAAGATGATGATTACTTTTGCCTTAAAAGTACCACATCCAATTCTAATAATTCAATAAATGATATTGAAATAGAGGTCATAAATTATATGAAAGATGACAGGCGGAGTATAAATATGTTAAATAGTTATAAATATATAAAAGAAATATTTATTAAATATAACACAATATTACCCTCCTCAGCCCCCGTTGAAAGATTATTTAGCCTTGCTAATATGGTTAATAAACCAAATCGTCAAAGATTGAACGATAAATCATTTGAAAAATTAATAATATTAAAAAATAATGCTGATATATGATGCTGATTTATTATTATTTACTAATTATATAATTATTAAATGGAATATCGCATTATCTTTTAATTTGTTATTATCTACAATTTATTTTAAATATTTTTTTATAAATTTATATTATAGATAAGAAAATAAAGCTTTATACATTTTGATTTTGACTATTTAAAGTTTTTTTAAAAAGTATCTTGTATCTTAGATATTTTTTTTAAAAAATACAAGTATCGTGTATCTTATATCTTATTGAAATTTTTCTAAAGTGTCTAGTATCTTGTATCGTAAATACAAAATTTTATAAAGTATCTGTATCTGTATCCGAATAAAATTTTCTGAAAATTGGCCCAACCCTGCTAAGATAGAATCTTACTAATACTAATATGTAAATATTAATTAAAACCAATTACCTTTGCCTTGAGGTACTGTATTTATATTTGATATTAGCTTTTAAGGTTGTCTTTATTTTATAATTTTCTACAAAAATGGTATGTAAATAGCTTTTGAGGTTTAGTCTTTATTTTATAATTTTCTACAAAAATGGTATATAAATAGCTTTTGTATCAAATTAATTTAATTACTTTAAATATTATATTAATAATATATTATGTTAAATATTACAATTATATATTTATTAAAATTTATATTAAATGATTTTAATATTAATTATATAATTATATTAAATATTTGATTAAGGTATTTACTAAAATTTATAATGATATTAATTTAATATTAAATACTTAAATAGAAAAAACTATCTAATCTGTAAAAGTCAAATTTTTGATATTTTTTTAAATCTCTCGCTCATTTTGACAGCCATTTTAGCTTATTTGTCTTTTTGATATTTTTAAGAGTATATAAAGCGAACCCGAACCAGGACAAATTATCATCGATATACTCAACATGGTGTTAATGGCGTCTCCAGCTGATTTCAATTGATACATGCTTAAAATCAAAGTTGTACAAAAGATCTTCTTTGAAGATTTTTGAGCGAGATCTAGCTCAAAAATTTGAGCAAGATCTTTGAAGATCGTAAAATTTGAAGATCTTTTATTTTTTAAAAATTTTGTGTAACGATCTTCAAAGATCTTCATGATATTTATTTTTTTACCCCTTATCCAGATTTTTTTCAATTTTACTAATATAATAGTTCTTTTATGTTTTATACCTCTCCTCCTGCCTTGATGAAAGAAAAAAATAAATTTTTTTTAAAAAAAAAATATTGACACAGCATGTTTCTAAAATTTTTGATGGCTTTATTATTAGATTGCAAAATATTAAAAAAAGAGTGCCTACAAGAATATTTTTTTTGATTGATATAAGAGTTTTTAATATTATCATTGAAAAGTGAAATAATTTTTATTTATATGAATTGTAAAAAAAATATTTAAAAATTTATTGAAAAGCTTCCTTTTCTTCCGAAATTTTTTAAAAAAAATAAAATTCTAACTGTTTCCAATGAGAGTGTAGGTAGTGTTGCATATTATATAATAGTAAAGATGTGCTAAACCCATATTTTAAAAAAATTGGGTTTGGGTTTTGTCTGTTCTAAAAAAAATTTTTTAAAATTCCGGCCAGGTCGGGTAGTGCCTTAGAAATTTTTTAAAATAAATATAAATATATGAATAATTATAAAAAATTAATTTTTGCTGGCTGTGCTGGTAAAATTTTTTTAATCGGGTTCGAGCCGGAAAACATTTTTTAAAAATTTTGGGTTGGGCTTGAAAAATTAGGCCCTATGCAGATCACTCTAATACATTATTATAATATATTTTCCTCTCGCTAATTAATAAGTAATTACTATGTTTAAGATAACACATTTGCATTTTATATATCCAGTAATAAATTTTTATTTCATTTTTTTTAAAATTTTTAAATCAAAATATAAATCTTTTTTTTGTGAGTTTTAAAAATAATTTCCGGTATTGAAAAAAAGGAATCAAAAAAACAGACCGGTCTATGGGTCTTGGAAACTTTCTTAGAAAGTGTGTCAGCATACCCTGGCTTAATAAATTAGTATCGCTATGCCAATTCCCCTTACTACTAGTTCAGAATGAGGAGCTAACTTTCTTTTAATTTTATCGCTATTTTTTAATATATATTTTTTAAATAATTTTAGAAATGTATCTATTGGACATATATGATAACATTAGTTCCTAAATTTGATTGAGATAATTAGAATACTTTTGGATATTCGTATTATTTAGGGGGGGGGGGATATGCCTATTCTAAAGTCAAAATATAGTATAATTTATAATATCAATTTATACTTTTTATCTTTTATTAATTAATAAAGTTTAATAATTATTATTAAGGATAATTTATCTTAATGAGGGTCTGAACCCCGGGTCTGTGCTCAGAGCTGGTTTGGTCGATTTTTTAGACCCAAACCCCGGGTCTGGTTTTATACAACCAACCAATTAACAACACTTTTATATTAAGTAAAAGTCATGCTTTTACTATTTACAACGATATAAAATAGCAAGTTGCGATTTTAAAAATAAAAGTAAAACAAAATTAACACTTTCCCAAGATGTCTAGGAAATGTCATTAAAACCACCAATAAAATCAGAATGATATGATATATTTGTCATATTATATATCCTTAAAATAAGCTAAATTTGAATAAAAAAATTTAGCCCAAGCCCAGCCCAAGTTAGTTGGGTATAGAATTTATCAACCCATAATTATATCAGAAACATGGATAGGGTATAGACCTAAATATATATTTTCTAGCGGGCCTAGGCCGGGTTTGGGTTCTTTGGAAATTTTATGCAATATGACTTGGGCTGGGCTTGGGCTTAATTTTTTTATTCAAATTTAGCTTATTTTAAGGATATAAAATATGATAAATATATCATATCATTCTGATTTTATTGGTGGTTTTTATGACATTTCCTAGACATCTTGGGAAAGTGTTAATTTTGTTTTACTTTTATTTTTAAAATTGCAACTAGCTATTTTATATCGTTGTAAATAGTAAAAGCATGACTTTTACTTAATATTAAAGTGTTGTTAATTGGTTGGTTGTATAAAATCAGACCCGGGGTTCAGACCCGGGGTTCAGACCCGGGGTTCAGACCCTCATTAAGATAAATTATCCTTAATAATAATTATTAAACTTTATTAATTAATAAAAGATAAAAAGTATAAATTGATATTATAAATTATACTATATTTTGACTTTAGAATAGGCACATCCCCCCCCCTTAAATAATACGAATATCCAAAAGTATTCTAATTATCTCAATCAAATTTAGGAACTAATGTTATCAAATATATATGTCCAATAGATACATTTCTAAAATTATTTAAAAAATCAATATTAAAAAATAGCTATGAAATTAAAAGAAAGTTAACACCTCATTCTGAACTAGTAGTAAGGGGAATTGGCATAGCGATGCTAATTTATTAAGCCAGGGTATGCTGACACACTTTCTAAGAAAGTTTCCAAGACCTATAGACCGGTCTGTTTTTTTGATTCCTTTTTTTCAATACCGGAAATTATTTTTAAAACTCACAAAAAAAAAAGATTTATATTTTGATTTAAAAATTTAAAAAAAAATAAAATAAAAATTTATTACTGGATATATAAAATGCAAATGTGTTATCTTAAACATAGTAATTACTTATTAATTAGCGAGAGGAAAATATATTATAATAATGTATTATAGTGATCTGCATAGGGCCTAATTTTTCAAGCCCAACCCAAAATTTTTAAAAAATGTTTTCCGGCTCGAACCCGATTAAAAAAATTTTACCAGCACAGCCAGCAAAAATTAATTTTTTATAATTATTCATATATTTATATTTATTTTAAAAAATTTCCAAGACACTACCCGACCTAGCGGAATTTTTAAAATTTTTTTTTAGAACCGACAAAGCCCAAACCCAATTTTTTTAAAATATGGGTTTAGCACATCTTTACTATCATATAATATGCAACACTACCTACACTCTCATTGGAAACAGTTATATTTTTATTTTTTTAAAAAAATTTCTGAAGAAAAGGAAGCTTTTCAATAAATTTTTAAATATTTTTTTTACAATTCAAATAAATAAAAATTATTTCCAATGATAATATTAAAAACTCTTATATCAATCAAAAAAAATATTCTTGTAGGCACTCTTTTTTTAATATTTTGCAATCTAATAATAAAGCCATCAAAAATTTTAAAAACATGCTGTGTCAATATTTTTTTCTTTCATCAAGGCAGGAGGAGAGGTATAAAGCATAAAAGAAATATTATATTAATAAAATTGAAAAACATCTGGATAAAGGGGTAAAAAAATAAATATCATGAAGATCTTTGAAGATCGTTACACAAAATTTTTAAAAAATAAAAGATCTTCAAATTTTACGATAAATAAAAGATCTTCAAATTTTACGATCTTCAAAGATATAGATCTTTGAAGATCTTTTTATTTTGAGCAAATATACAACTCTGCTTAAAATGCATTTTAATGAATGAATTGTCAGTCTAGGTATTATTATATGTCATTGCTTGAAGATGACAAAAGAGGGCCTGCCATAGCATTTTTAGCAAGATTATTATAAGGTTGTGACTTGAAACCCACTTTGTTTGATATTATATTATTACCTTAAATACAATATTTACTATATATAAAAATATAATTTTGTTACTTGAAGATGACAAAAGAGGGCAGGCGCGTAAGCAGGAATTTGGTCTGGGGGGGGGGAGGGAGATAATAAAATTTTTTAAGAAATATTTTTGTTAATTAAAAATAAGCATAAATTTATTAGGACTAATATCTTTTATAATACACAATTTTAAATTAATGTGAATTACAAAAAAATTATATATATAAACCAGCATTGATATAAAATAAATGTGAATTATAAAATATAAAGTGAATATAACCACGATATGAATCACCTAAATGACCCAAAATTGAAATTTGAATTTTTTGAGCCTTTAAAATATATAAAGTATAAAAAATTTAAGTGTTGGAAATATAAATTAATACACAAAAAGTTTCTTAGAAATAATTGTATTTTGTATGTTTTGAGCTAATTTTTCAATTATCTATCCTTGCTTGGCTTTAAATGCCTATGAATATTCAAAAGATCCAAATAATTCAATCTACTTTCAGAAGTTGTATTTCATAATGTTTTTCAGAGACTTACAGGCCCTGCCCCCGAGCCGGACCGTATTTTAATTGTTTTTAAACATACCCAGGCCGGGCCCGAAATTTTTTTTAAGAAAACACCCGGGGTGGGCCTGAAAATCTTATTAAAAAAATATACTGGCCGAACTGTATATTTTATAACCAAATATTTGAAATCGCCTTTATAAGCTATAAAAATCAAAAATAAATATAATTTAATTTATAAAAATCTGGGCCGTGCCCTGCAAATTGTACCTTTGAAGGGCTCTGTTATTCTTCTTAAAAAAGAGAGTGTTCTCTAATTAGTTTACTAATGGGAAGAGTTGCATATATATATATACCCATATCATTATTTTAACATCTTCATGACAAAAATCTAACAAATATATTTTTTTTTCTATCACCATCTGAAAAAGGTTGGAAAGGCTTTTGTGGAAGTAATATCTGTGAATTTGTAAGTGTTGCATGATGAATTAAAAACTATTCATTTATTTGGGTTATAATTGTATCTAAGAGAGGGGACATTTGTTTTATAATACTCTTCTACTGATTCTATATTAAGGTTTTGACGATGAGCTTGCTGTAATACGAGGAGGACAAATATTAAACACGTATAGCTCTGCTATTGACTCAACAATAACACATAAAATATGAAATTCTTCATCAACATTAGCTCTAATTTCCTTGAGTTCTAATAAAATGCTCTCCGCTATTCTCACCTTATGTCATGTTTTTGAAAGGTATACATAAAATAGTTGTATAATTAAATAAATCATTCTAATGAGAAAAAAAATTGCAATAAGTATTGAATCCAATAATTTTCTTGCTTCTGAGGAAATATTTCTTTCAAGTCATTGTTATATTTCAGTAATAGCATTAATAATCGGCTCTTCTAACTCCATTAAAGCTGTTACTGCTTAATGGCGGAGACTCGATCTCGTTGGACAAGCTTGCAATTTCTTTCTCCCTGTTGGACAAGGAGTTAGAGATAATTATTATTTGACAATAAATTTTGATAAATAATACGCCACTAAAATTTGAAAATAATAGGTAAATTACATCAAGGAAAACTTGAAATCGAAATTAATTGATAAAATAACTAGTAGATGAATGTGATAAATAAATGAAATTAAATATATTTATGAAATAGGAATAAATATTAACAAATATAAATTTATATTAACAATATATTTTTGAAAAATATAATCCGGCATCTGCATTTTTTGGCTTTGAGGAGGGGGGGATTTGTCCCCCCCCCCCCAGCTGCGTACGCTTTTGAAAGAGGGTCTGCCATAGCATTTTTGGCAAGAGTATTATAAGGTTGTGACTTGAAGCCCACTTTGTTTGATATTATATTACTACCTTAAATTAATACAATATTTACTATATATAAAAATGTAATTTTGTTACTTGAAGATGACAAAAGAGGGTCTGACATATTTTTAGCAAGATTATTATAAGGTTGTAACTTGAAGCCCATTTTGTTTGGAAATATTTTTCTGTCTAGATTTATTAAATTATTTTATATAAAATGTAATTTTGTTACTTGCTGAAAATTTTCTCTCTTTCCTCGAAAGAACGGAATAACTTAAATTTAGAATAGCATAAAATATCTGCATGTCATATTATATTAGATTTTAAAAAATTGTTTATTTACCTTTATTTCTTATTCTGTACTTTCCATATGAGTAAATTTATAGTAGAGAAGTAGAATCAAAAATAACTTTAAAAATAAAATCCATTTTTTTTATAAAATGGATGATTTTAAATATCGCGGGCACATGGTGTTAAACATATTTCTTATCTTATCTTATCTAGCACGTTGGTCATAGACCTGCCCAAAATGAGCGAACGTGAATTTTATGAAGGTTATGCCGATTTTTTTCTCAAGGATACCAACAAACCTTGTACCCAGTTGTAGTTTACTAAATGAGTGGAACTTACCCTTTCCGATATTGTAATTGTAATTTATAAATTAGTAAAATAAAGCATATATTTCTTATTTGTTTTTTAATCTTGAATAGTTATATTCATGATAAGGAATGAGCTAAGAATATTTGAATCCATAGACATCAAAATTCCATTTTATTTGCTAGGTTATATTCTTCCAAAAGATGAACCGGAAAAAACTTCGCCATTTGGGATGGATAGATTGAGGGTTGATATAATCATGAATATCATATGGTTAGGTGTTTTGACATATATGTTTAATTGGGTGTAACTAAACTGAGAATTAACAGGTAAACTGAGAATTAACAGGTAAACTGAGAATTAACAGGTAAAATTTATTTATGGCCTATCAATTATATTTTAAAAACTTGAAAAAAAAAGGTTTTTATTATAAAAATTTAATTTATCCAAAATTAAAATTATTTAAATATATAAATTAGAATAGAAAAGATATTGTAGTTTAGAAATTTATAATATGTATAACAGATCTATTATATAGAAAATAAAACACCCATAATATTTTATATATCATAAAATAAATTCCGCTAGATGGCGTATATTATTAAAATTTTAGTTTTTAATTAAAAATAATATGAATTATAGGAGCATAATTCTACGCTCTGGATTAATTGATTTGGTACCGACTTATATAAACATAAAATGAAAAAATTTTTAAGTTTCCATCATTATTTTTGGAGTTATGATGTGGATTCTCAGTTTAGTCAATTTTTTAATTTTTTTTTAGATTTTTGGGATTTTAAAAATATTTTATTTTTTTTGACTCATTTGATGTAAACTAACTTATATTAACATAAAATGAAAAAAATTTTAAGTTTCCATCATTATTTTTGGAGTTATGATGTGGATTCTCAGTTTAGTCAATTTTTTAATTTTTTTTAAAATTTTTGGGATTTTAAAAATATTTTATTTTTTTGACTCATTTGGTGTAAACTAACTTATATTAACATAAAATGAAAAAATTTTTAAGTTTCCATCATTATTTTTGGAGTTATGATGTGGATTCTCAGTTTAGTCAATTTTTTAATTTTTTTTAAAATTTTTGGGATTTTAAAAATATTTTATTTTTTTGACTCATTTGGTGTAAACTAACTTATATTAACATAAAATGAAAAAATTTTTAAGTTTCCATCATTATTTTTGGAGTTATGATGTGGATTCTCAGTTTAGTCAATTTTTTAATTTTTTTTAAAATTTTTGGGATTTTAAAAATATTTTATTTTTTTTGACTCATTTGATGTAAACTAACTTATATTAACATAAAATGAAAAAAATTTTAAGTTTCCATCATTATTTTTGGAGTTATGATGTGGATTCTCAGTTTAGTCAATTTTTTAATTTTTTTTTAGATTTTTGGGATTTTAAAAATATTTTATTTTTTTTGACTCATTTGGTGTAAACTAACTTATATTAACATAAAATGAAAAAATTTTTAAGTTTCCATCATTATTTTTGGAGTTATGATGTGGATTCTCAGTTTAGTCAATTTTTAATTTTTTTTTAGATTTTTGGGATTTTAAAAATATTTTATTTTTTTGACTAATATTAAATTTTGGAAAGAGATACCAAGGATGATATAATACCTTCATAAAAATTATTTGAGGGTACATATCCAACCATTATTAACTGAAAAACTCCAAAATGAAACATTGTTATATTCCATCCAAGTCCTTCTGAGGAAGCCAAAAATTTATGTGAACTTTACATTCTCATTATTTTACAAAATATTCTTCATAAAAATTGGCAGATAAATATAAATTCCAAAAAATATGCCCTCTCTAGTTCTATGATTTGGAGGCTACAATGAAAGAATTGTAAGCAGTTTTATGTGGTATTATTCTTGGGGCTTGCATGAAAAACAATTATTTTCCCACTTGAATTTTATCTGGCAAGAAGATGTATAGATTTTTACAGTACTTTCAGTCAAGAACGATTTGAATTTAAGGTTTGTTGATAAAGTCTTAAGAAATAAAGATGATCCTTTCTCTCCAATTAAAGATATATAGAAAAAAGTGGCAATTTCTAGATTATATGAGCTGAGTTCTTATATAAACAATTCATACTTTTAGAGGTAGATAGGATGTATATTCTCAATAAACCTGTAAAATATGGAATCAAAATTGTCAAGTTTTTTGACACCAGTAATGGTTATATTGATTAATGAGTTTCCTTATTTGGGAAAACACTATATACATAGACCTTCCATTGGTAGAAATTTTGTAAATAGATAATGAAGCCATTATATGTGTCTAATTGTTAAACATCACTATGAGCAATTGATTTTCATACATCAAGGCCACTAATGATTTATTATAAAGCCCCATTAATTTAACAATTGGTGGGAACCTTAGAGAGAATAAAATAGAAAATACCCCCTATTCTTTTTAGAAAAAAATGGGTAGAAAAATTAATATCTTTATTTGTTTATTTATACTTGTCTAAGAATTTTTTAAAAAATTTTTGCATTTAAATTTGATAAAGAATATAATTTTTTTTTAATATAAAAAATTTTACCTACATTTATGTGATAGTAATTAAAAATAATTATTAATTCTTGAAAAATATAGAAATATAAACTTTAAAAATTTAATATAATAGGATTTTTTAAACATAAAAGTATTTTATGTTAACAAACCAAAATAATAGTAATTATTAATAATATCAAAAATATACTCATAATTAAAAGTCTAAAAACTGTTTTTATTTCGTTTAAAATTCTTATATAATTATATATATATATATCTAAAAATTCAGCTCATTGAACAGTTAACACAGAACAATATTGCAGCAGAGTCAGAAAAGTGGGTGGTAAAATAATTTTTAAGAACAGGCAGGCATGCGGACAGGTTAAAAAATTCTAAACTATGAATGGGTGGGTAGATGGGTTAAGAATTTTAAACAATGGGTGGGCAGGTTAAAAAAATTTAAAATCATTTAAGTAAATATTAATAAAAAATTGTTCCTCTGAACTTTTTTGGATATTAAAAATTAAAATTTCCTTTTTGGTATCATAAAAGCTTTTTTCCTAAAATAAATAAACCTTTTTATATATTCTAGTTTGGTGGAAACGACAAGGAAGAGATTTGCCAAAGCTATCAAGATTAGCAAGAAAAATATTGGCAATTCCTGTAACTAGTGCTTCTTCTGAACGAGGATTTAGCATTGCTGGAAGGGTTTTAGAACATAAAAGAACATGTTTGACTTTGAATCCAGAAAATGTCGATTCATTATTATTTTCATGAATATTTTATTTGATCAAATAAATTATCCATAATTTAAATTGAATATTTTTTTATGCTTAATATAGTAATTTCCTAAAAACTTTTTATAGAGGTGTAATGCTGATTTTTTTTTATTAGATGCTTGAAAAATTAAAAGAATGGTCATAATTAAATTTTTTAATAGTGGGCTTGGGGTTAAAAAAATTTTATAAATAAAGGGTGGGGCGGGTAAAATAATTTAGACTAATGGGTGGGCGGGCGGGCGAGTAAAGATTTTTAGACTAATGGGCGGGCGGGAATATTTTTTTGAAAACTATGTGCGGGTGGGTTAAATTTTTTTAAAACATTGGGTGGGCGTTTTTATGGTCCAAAAACTTGCCCAATGCAGAGCTCTAGGTCGAATATCCTACAAGAGCAAGGACTAAGCTAATTAGATTGAGAATAGATATTATGCGAACTACTTATTACATATTTGTTATTTATTTATATGACCCTTTTAGATATTTTAGTCATTGTTGGAAATTTCGTTTACCAATTTCTTCCAATTACAGTTTTTGTATATCATTTTGTAATTATGAGAGGTAATTCTAATTAGTGGTTTGTATTGGTCGGGTTTTTGGACCATAAGCCCGCCCACCCAATGTTTCAAAAAAATATTAACCCGCCTGCCCATAGTTTTCAAAAAAAATATACTCGCCCTCCTATTAGTCTAAAATTCTTTACCCGTCCACCCATTATTTATAAATTTTTTTTAACCCAAGCCCGCTATTATAAAATTTAATTATAGCCATTCTTTCAATTTTTTAAGCATCTAATAAAAAAATTCAGTATTACACCTCAACAAAAAGTTTTATAATTTAGGAAATAAATTACTATATTAAGCACAGATAAACATTTAATTTAAATTATGGATGATTTATTTGATCAAATAAAATATTTATGGAAAAAATAAATATAAAATTGATATTATATATAATTACAATGCAAAATAATAATGAATCAACATTTTCTGGATTCAAATACGTTCTTTTTTGTTCTAAAAACCTTCCAGCAATGCTAAATCCTTGTTCAGAAGAAGCACGAGTTCCAGTAATTGCCAATATTTTTCTTGCTAATAGCTTCGGCATATCTCTTTCTTGTCGTTTCCACCAAAGTAGTTTTAAATATATAAAAATTTATTTATTCTAAGGAAAAAGTCTTTATGATACCAAAAAAGGACATTTTAATTTTTAATATCCCAAAAAGTTCATAACAATTTTTTATCAATATTTACTTAAATGATTTAAAAAATTTTTTTTAATCCGCCCGCCCATTGTTTAAATTTTTTAATCCGCCCGCCCATTGTTTAAATTTTTTAACCCGCCCCCTGCTCGTTTTTAAAAAAAATTTTGCCCGCCCACTTAAATGAGCGGGTGTAGGTGGGCGGGCCAAATCCCCGCCCAATGCAGACCTCTAGTTCTAATGTTCATCCACATATTGTATTCTTTCTAGTATGATCTAATTGTTATATATTGGTACAAGGGATATATATATTTTTTTTATCGGATTGGGCACATCCTTTTTAAAATATCATCGGCAGATGTAAAATTTTTCCATCTGATAAAATGGCTTATTAATTTTTAAAAAATTAATTTTAAAAGTATTTAATATACTTTTGATTCACGAATATAAACTATAACTGATCATTAATGATAGTAATACATATTTCAATTTCTATTTATAGATTCATTCATTACTTTTTAATATTATATTATTAACTTTTATTTCACGTAAAAAGTATTTTGCTAGACGAAGGGGTCATATACCTAACGCTATGCGAAAACGAGTTTTCAAAGAAGTTGGCGTTCAGTTACCTCGATGATCTAAGGGCGGAATTCAGACTACGATATATCGACAAAATCCCAAGAGTCACCCGGCCTTACACCTTTATCGAGTTCGGTTAGTATACTTTCTCTAATTTTAACTTCACTTTTTTTCAAGCTTGTTTTCATTTTTTCCTAATTCCTAAGGCCAGCCCGGTCTATAACAATCGAGACAAACAAAGTGGAGACATTAGTCTATATTTTGTTATAGAAGCATTTATGGCATAATGCTTCAATATACATACTATATATATATATATTGTCTTATTAGAAGAAGGAAAATGTGGTTTGATAAAAATATAAGGTATCACATATAAAATCAATATTTGCAAAAATGTCTGGCCTGAATTTTTTAGCCGGCGAGTCGGACCGGGCAGATCTTTTTAACAGTACCAGCTATCCAAGTTAATTTTATTCTTGGATATTATTTGGTAAGGAGAAACTTTAAAATATTTTAATTAAATGAATTTACTTTTGCTAAAATGCCACTAACATATGTCATAATCCTTATTTTTGAATTTTTTTGCAAATGCGTTAAATATATAATATAAACATGTTTATTTTCATATTAAATATTTTAATATTTATTTTAAAAGAATTAAAATTCAAATACTTGTTATAATTATGCCATTAGAAATATATCTCAGATACTGTAAAAAAAATTATAAACATAAAATTTGAATTGAATAAATCAGAAAGTAAATCTAGTGAAAAATAGCGAGTAAAATAATGAATAATTCAGTTTATTTTAATTTTAAAGTAAAAAAATATATTTTATTCAAAAAACCCAATTCTTATATTTAAAAACACCCAGAGTTAGGCAGTACCGCAAATACTTGTAGCGATTCGGTCGACCATCTCAAAAATGAATGAAACTTGGCATGTTAATTATTTATGTTGTAAATATTAATAAAATCAAAATTTTAGAGTGCTAGCTCAACCAGATCCAAAGATATACGCCTTCAAAGTCCAAAATCGCTAAGTGCGTGATTTCATTAAATCTTGTTATTTTAAAAAAATACTTAAGATAGAGTTACAAAATATATATAATTTTATAGCCCTTAAAATTTTACGTTGGAAAATATAAAAACAAAATTAAAAAATTTCGAGTGTTTTCTTATTTCCGGTAAAAATAAAACAAACATTGTTAGGAAGGGATTTTTTTTGGGTGCTTATATTCACTAAAAATGTTTATTATCTTTATATTAAACAATTTAATAAAAAATCTCGATAGCCATTTTTGTTTTTTTAATTTTATTTGAATATTTTTATAAATAAATAAATGTAATATAGATGGCGTTATATTAATATTTTATTATAATATATAATTTTTAATAAAAATATGAATAGTATTGTGATTAAAATTAAAAAATCAATTGAGTATAACCAAGAATGATGTCGGACGATATATAAGCATGCAGCCCCATACAGATATGATTTTATTAGGACACTATATTGTAAAATAAATAAATTTTAAAATTTTTTACGCAAACAATATAAAAATAATACCTCTTGTTATAATCAGAGTTGGGCAGGTCCTCCAGAAAGAGAATCTAGATACAGATACAGATTCTTAACAAAAAAATGAATCTTAGATACAGATACTAGTATCTTTTTCAAAATATCAAAAAGATACAAGATAAAAGATACTTGTATCTTTTACTAAATTAGAGTATTTTAAATACAAGATACTTTTAAATTATCATTACCAATTAAATTCGAATAGTTTATAAAATACAGTTTTTATTATTTATTTGTGAAGAACATACCATTCATACACATATAAGAATGAATATTTGCAATAATTAATAAAATATTTATTAATGAATTAATTATAATAAACAGGGATTTTAATATTAGTTTTTTCCCATTAATAGCTTAAACAGGGAAGGGAGAATAATATATATAATGGGAGTTAGAAATTTGCAAATAAGAAAAAAATATTAAATCAAATGTTTTATTAGAATTTGCAGGTTATTTTCTGTGTTGTTTTAAATATAGCTTATATACGGATTATATGGCTAAATGGCGTCTCTAAAAAAATATACCAGTTTTATTTTATTCATTATCTTTAATAAGTATTTATCATTACTTGTTTGTGATATTTTTTGTAATATCATATATATATATAAATATCATTTAAATCTCTTTTCAATTTTTTTTTATATATTTCTTGCAAAATTATTAATTATATATAAAAAATATGAAAATAATGTATAACATTATATTATAATTATTAAATACATAACAATTTTCTTTAATGCATTTTAAATTGATTAAATTTTGTAAATAAATGCTGTAATGTAATTTTACTTATATCATAAATAAATAAAAGTAACTAATAAAGTTGAATTCTACTTTATTATAATTATTTTATTAAGAGCCTTTTAAAATTATCTAATGTTATTATATCAAGTGTAGCTTAAATATTTCCTCTAATAAGAACTTGCTAAAAAAAATATATTAGGGATGTGCCGATATTTTTTATCGGATCGGGCCGACTTCACCCTTTAAAACATCGGTTATCGGCCAATATTATAAAATTTGATCCGATATAAAATGGCTTCTTTAAGAAAAATAAAATTTTTAAAAAAGTTATATCTAAGATCATTTATTTTTATAAATAAAATCGAAATCCATTTTTATGTATATTTTTTAAATAATAATAAATAATTAATAAACATTCTGCCATATTGTTATTTTTTTGCGCATTCTGTTATAGTGTGCGAAATTTTCTTCAGAATCTGTTTTTAGTGAAGTTGATGATATTGACAGTTACTATCGCTGCAAGCTGACCTCTGATAAATTGAATATATTGGTATTTCTAAAAAGAAATCTTCGATATATTAATGTTAAATATTATTTTAAATATTTATTTCAAATTTCATAATATAATTGTTTATTACTTATTATATATATAATATAGATTAATGTTATTACTTATTATATAAAAGTGAAATGTTATTACTTATTATATAAAAGTGATTTAACAATAAAAATATCTTATATTTTTATATAATTGCATTGCAATTGAATTGAATATAAACTATAACTGATCATTATAATATATTTAAATGACATAAGTTATGGTATAGTTAAATTATAAACGTTATACTAATAAAAAGTATATTATAAATGAAAACCATTGGTATCTTTACAGAATACAAAATTAGATATGATATCGGATCGGTAATCGACCGATATCAATTTAATATGGAGAATATCGGATCGGCCTCCAAAAAAGTGGTATCGATACATCCCTAAAAAATATATATCTAATGATTTTAATTTGATATTCAACCATCTTCTATAAAAAATTTTAATAACAATTATCTAAGAGCGACTTAAGTATAGGTATTATTATGTTAATAATTATAAAATAAAAATCTATAATATACTTTAATATGTTTAATTAACAAAGTTTGTAGATGAGTTTGTTGAACCTGTAATAACATTTTTACTTGTGCAATTTTGACATTCAGCTTGTACCTTGTTCTTTTTCACATGAATTACTTTATAAAATTTTCCATCTAGAAATTTAAGATTCGGATTTGATTCAGGAGAACCTATTCCATAATTTCATCTTCACTACTATGATTGTTAAACATTCTACAAATTAAAAAATATTACATATAAAATATATCCTTATCTTATTTAGTTTTGGTGTTGTTATTTTTAATCTATCAATCTTTGTGACCTGTAAAACTTCAAACTAATTTTGGTTATCAATATATTTAAAATATGGGAAAAAATAAAGAAAATAATACAAGATTTCACGAAGAAAATAAAGTTACATTGTGTGATATGTAAATGTTTTAAACATGAATATTAAAAAGAATCTGTATCTGAATCTTTTTAAAGAAAATGAAAAAGATACAAGATTCTTTTCAAAATAAAGGGTCTTAGATACAGATACTAGTATCTTCTTAAAAATGTCAATAAGATACTGAGTACAAGACAAAAGGATCTTGTATCTTAGATACAAGTATTCGCGGTACTGCCCAACTCTGGTTTTAATCTTATCCCATTTTGTGCTTATTAATAGAATTTCTTGAGACGATAATTTGTAGGTATGTCCTGTCACTGTAATAGGATCTACTATTGTTATTATTTGATTAATGGGTATCCATATCTTTTCCTCAATTGTGTGGTAAAAGAAGGATGGTGATGGTCCATGGGGATATAAAAAGGAAATATATATCTCCTCAGTAATTTCATTCTTTTTTAGTACTGTGGCTAACTACCAAAAATCGTCATAAACACATGTTACGAATTCTATAATATCTGCAAAAGACAAATTATCGGCATCTGAGATATTGTTAATTTGAAAGTCCTCTGCATATGAATATTTTTTTGATTTAAGCTTACTTAAACTCAAAGGAAATACGGCATGTATTTCCCGAGTTCCTGGAATGGGACGAACTAAATTGAATCTTTCTCATAGTTTAATCTCTTGTAAATTGTATTGTTCGTTTGTTATATATGTAAAATTTAACTGATGGCATGTTTTGTTTTGCAAACTGATATAAATCAACTGGCGTTAAAATGTGTCCAGAACTGATGCGCTGAAGGCTTAAACGTGCTGCTAATCTTTTTAATGCTCCACCAAGGCCTTCTCACGGACCTTTTCCATGGGATGTAGCTGAAAAATGCCATTCAACTGCTACATCAAAATCTGATTCAGATAACACAGATTTATAAAAAATTTTCTGTTTTTATATTGTGCAGCTGATCCGTTGGAGCAGTAATATATTTTGTTTAGCTTTTTGCTGAATTGATTGGTCAAAAATTTTATCATTTTAGTCTGGTATAAATGTACTGCAATAACATTAAGTTGAAGTGACTCTGATATTACCATATAATTAAGGTTTTCTATATTGCCTTTATTATAATATGCTATCATAGGATGGATAGTGGCTTGATTATTATTCCAATGGAATCCTTGAACAGCATCTTGGATTATAAATGCATACTTTTCAGAGAAATCACAAATTATCATAATTCATTTGGTTGTAAAAAATATTTAAGTTTTGAAATATATGATGATTGATTGGTAGCAATGATAGAAATAAAAAA